TCGTCTAGGTTCAACAACTGGCTCCTCGTATTATTGAGGCAGATAATCTGGGGGTCGCTGCTTCTCGTTAGGTTTGCCCATTCGCGACGTTTTCGATGCTGGTTTGTTTGGCCTTTTGACCCACTAATCGCACATGCGCAAATCCATCGTGTGTACGAGCACAATATGAAGAAAAATGACACGACACTTATTTGAAGAGTCGATACGCTTTGTCGCTAAATCTATCCGAACTTCTACTTTTCTTACCTGTTGTACTTGATGGAAAACGTGTTTGCTTCTGTTGTTGCTTCTTGAGCTTCTTCAGTTAACCCCATCGCTTCTTAACCTATCACCTGTTCATTGGACCTGCGGTCGTTGGTCAACTGGATCTGGAAGAATAACGCACGGATGATCGAGACAGTTGGCAACGGACAGCATCGATGCTTGACCGTAGCCGCTGGCGTTCGAAATCTGTCCGAGCTCAAGGTTTATATAATCAGGAAACGCCCACTCTGTGGGGAAGCAAGGCTGGAGGCTGTTCACGAGGCTTACCTGTTGGCAAATAGACTGACCTCTTTCCCACCGGTCCTTGGTGCAGGCTGGGTGGTGTTTTGCTTGTGGATCCCCTTTGCGGTCAGGGAACAGTCGTGTTGGAAGTAATGTAATTGTTGCACTTGCTGGGCACCCTCTCGGCGCAAAGGAGGGGCTCACGGGGGTAGTTGTTTGGGTTTGAGGAGCACACGTTCGCGAAGCGAATACCCTCCCAGTGCTCAGGGAAACTGAGTCCCGATTTATGCTTTCGAGATTGTTTAGGCGCCTGCCTGCTCTCGGGGCCATACTGATCTATCTGGGATCGTCAAAATGTGGTTTGATATCGGGTAGATGAGGAAAACCAATTGCGTATCATCAATAGTCACTCGGTTCCTCGGGGATTAGTTTGTCGAAATCCGTGTTCGGACATTCTTCCTTCGTACTGGATTTGGGAGTGTTCTCCTATCTCAGAAGAGGAGTACGGTTTCGCTTACTAGTTGCTCTTGCTGTGTTCGGACACCGTGGTGTCAGGAAGATAGCTCCTGTGGTATCCGTCGATCCCTTTGGTTATCGGTTGGGTCGCCTTTTGGCGTTCCGCTCATCTCGTCTGGTGGCCATAAGTCCTTTGGATTAGCCCAAGGAAAGGTGAAGTCTTGGGTTAGTCTGGCTCAGGAAATGATCGATTTGAAGTCTTTTCTTGGTAATTCCATTCCGGGAAATTTTGTATTGCACGAGGGGCACTTCTGTGTTGACAGCATTGATCGCCGAGTCATGGATCCCATTTTTGGTGAGATTAATAAATTTACGGTTCAGGAGGTTGGTGTTAGGTCGCATATCCTCGCAGCGAGGGGAGGCATGGTCGGACTCGAGTACATGACGAAGACTAGTGTACTGGAGGGCTTTCATGTAAGCACATGATTTTCCCTCCAATTATTTACAAACTATTAATCCACTTAATGTATGCCATAAAACTGTCATTCGGAAGATGTATCTCTAGCCACACATTAGCTTGCCAGATAGTATTGTTTGTTTGGGGAGATGGTTGAAGATTGATGGGTTTTGTTGAGGTTTCCTCCTCTCTTGTAGGCTATCCTACCCGCATGAGAGCGAGAAATGGCGGTCGCTGAGAGGACTGGGCATTTGTGACTGCTACCTTTGATATCATAGCTTTGTACACACGCGTAACCATCATTGTTCATATGTCATGAACAGGGGGCATTTCCACAACTCCCGGCGGAGAGTTGGGTCTTCATCGTCTATTCTCCCTCTAAAACTCGCTTCGTACCTTTAGTATCACTATGGCTTTTCTTGCCTAAAGCATCACCTCCCCTGCACCGATGAGATGCCTGCTCGGTGGGTAAGCTTCTAGTCTGAGCTAACAATCTATTCGAGTATGTCAATGAACTTTAACTTGGTGAGCTATCGAAGTCGGATTTCCTCTTTCAGCGATTCAGCCTTCGGTTATTAACCCGGCTTCGCAGGGTTTTATTGAGCATACGGTTTTTCTTGATCCCCGCAAACCCGAATACGGTATGTGATAACATCCCATTTAATCCATGGTATCTCACTCGATTCTTTTGAGGAGGGGGCACCGGCTTTTGAGGAGTAATTAATTAGTTAATTTTTCTCTGACAGTAGGTCCGGGGGGGTGCCACGGGCGAAGATGATAGATTTGCGCGAGCACGGGAGTAAGCGTTTATTCACTCTGTTTGCTAGAAAAGGCGGCAGCACACAGTTTGCAGATCCCAGTTAACCGTTTGGCGGATCAGGAGGCTCCCCGCATTTGACAAGCAGACCTTTCCGGTAACAGTCATAGTGGGTTGTTTGGTCATGAGCGAATTTATACCTCCCTTAGCTTCTGGTCTTGCGAACGAAGCTGAGCACCGGACTGTATGACATCGTGGTAGTAGGTTTTGGATAAGGGTTTTTCACCACAGACATACTATTACAAATGACAAGAATGGTGTCCCTTCTTTCTAAGATTTTCTTAGAATCCATTAAAGAGGAAGAGGATTAAACCAGCCAAGATGAGCAACATCAGATACTCATCGTTCTCAGACCGTCCCCTTTCAAGAAGCTCTGTGCCCCGGAGTCACTCAAGCCCTACCTTGGACCACTATGGTAGGCGTGGAAACTTGACGCCAGAACGGGATCTGTCTTCGGATGATCAGGGGGCAGGCTGGGTGTTTCATGACAACTACGAAGATGATCATCATACTACCTTCGGCAGAGATCACCAATTAGTATCATCGCATAGGAAACACCCCAGAGAAGCACGGGGCTCATGTTCTTCTCGCCAGTTCTCTTCATACTCTGATCCACATGCCAACTGGTCAGGTGATGAGCTTGATGATGAAGACAGCGGATACTATCGGGGTGAGCGGCGCCGTGGGGTCTACGAATGGGAACATGCGGTAGAATATCGAATCCCAAGGTCTGAGATTCGGTACGTCGGGAGCGAGAGTGTTCAGAGAAGATATCCTCATATCATGGGATATCGCATACAGCATGCCATTGACAACGGTTTAAGAGGGCGGTACTGTGCGGGGTATGGATTTGGCTATGGATACGGAATTGGATACGAGCGATATGTGGTCAGTGTAGGGGATAGGGAGGGTCTTGAGGTAGAGCTTGCTGGGTGGAGGTATCTTAATGGTTACACTATAAGACGGAGGAGGTAGCTGAGATGATTTAATTGTATTGGAGATTCTGTGGGAGCCAATACCGATGTTGCAGTTGATACACTCCTCTTGCCCGGGCGGATCCTATCAATATTGTGTTTCAAAGTTGTCAAACTATGTTAGGGCCGTCTAAGAGTGCAAGAATCTGTAAATTTCGGGGATGAATAGTGGGAGAGAGCGAGTTATCGAGTGACAATCCATGATATACAGATAAAAAATTGTAATCACTAAACACAATATCATACATCCATCCCTGGGCTGCTCTTCTTACCCAGTGTCCGCATCTCAAAAACAAAAACTTTAATGGTTTTGGGTACGGGAGTAAGGTGGGCATAGCACTATAGCACCAAAATATTTCACGTGCCTACACGCTCTTCTTAGCTCTTCATGTATAAGTAGAAAAAATCAGCTATAAAACGAAGAGATAGTAATCTATGGGGGTGAATTTGACTCGAAGAGTTTGTATTTTTCACGCCCATGACTTCTAATGAAAAAGGCAAGAATTTCCTCCGGCTTCCCTTGTACCCGCAACCATGGGCTAGATGTTGAATATGTACGATCAACTGTTTGTGATCCCGACTACGGTAGCTACCATCATCGCAGCGAGTGGGAATATTTCATGATGGTGCGGGAGTTTCTAGTATGCGGCGAGCTGAGTGGCTTCAGTTCCGGGTGGAAAAGGCGAGTGATAGGAAATAGGGGAAAAAAACATGGCCAATTGTCTGTGCGTATCTGGGTGCCCATGTTAAATCGGTGCCCTATGTTCGGTATAGCTAGGATAAATATGTGGTATTAAGGCTGTCTGGCTCATATTGTCCCCGCTTTCCACGGCCTAAACCTGGACTCGGCTGTCTCGGCGCTGGTTCACAAAACTGGCAGCCCAATTGCGAGGATTGCTTTTAGGAAAAGTGATTTTCTAAGGGCGGAAATGGAGCAGGGTGGGGAGTGGATGGGGGAGAGAACCTAGTAATCGGTGTTTGTTTTTATTTGAAGCGAGGAACAGGCGGGGGTGGTTCGTTCTTGAAATGGTCCCTATTCCCGGGGAAGGGAAGAGGTAGTGCACTAAACGTTAAAGGCCATGTTGTAGACGGTGGTGCCGGAATTGACACTGGGTGAAGCTGCGAGTGATAATAAGTGAATATATGAGCCTGGGTTGGACTGCCGTGCCCTCAGTGTTCTACGGCGGGGCGAACACTCTGGGTGGTTGGAATACCCGTGCCAGGCCTTACAAATGAAAATAAGCCCTGTCCGATGGAGGCTGTATGGGGCCTTCTCGGATCACTGGTTAGGCAGTGTCGGTGGAATATATTCTAATTAATTACCGTGTTCGTGCTAAGATGAGGGCTGGCGTAAGCAGGATACATAAATCGATATCATATTTTGAGGCTCGATCGATGACCTCTGGTTTCTAAGGTAACATTATCATTGTTTTCCTTTCTCTCGACCACTCCACTGTACTGTACTTGTACAACCCGCCCACTGGGAATCGGGGCTCAGGTTGATTGATATCTTAGGGCGCCGTAAATGGCATTGTTGTACTGTACCGAGTGAATATCATTTGGGATTTCACGAGGATTGCCGTATGAGCATGATACCTCGAGCGAGTCCAATGGTCAAAACATAAAAACGATGTGTTGAGTCACAGGTGAGTGTACCGTGCTATACATACTTGTATGCATACAATGAGGCCTTGCGAGATTCAAACTCGAGATCTCGTACTTAGCCTCGTTGTCTCGCGTGCGCATATCTCATACTATACGCTGTCTGGGCCAACACGCCGCTCAGCCGTCCTCGTACCAACCTGCCTATGATAAAATCAAGCTTAAAAGTGCATTTAGAGTTTGGCACCGCTTCTACTCCTTTAAAGCCATCAAACTCTTCTCTCTTTAGGCTCTTTATTTTATTTTCTTCTTCTCGACAACTGTCTGAAAACCATTAACAATTGGGAAAGAAAAAAATAAAAACAAAATGCATAAGATCCCTTCCCCATAACTTTTCACCGACGAGGGCAAGGCACCCGGTTTGATCATTGAGGGCAACGGTCTCACTATTTCTCTCCCAGGTTGCTAGCTACTCAAGCCCTCACCCTCCGGTTACGAGAATGGATAGCTGATGTGTGGAAAAGTGCGATGGGGATCTGCCGCTCAATGCGCCCGCGCAAACACTTTCATTCCTGTCGATCATGACCGCATGTACTACTATGAGATGACGGTTGTGGACCAAGGGGATGGCAAGAGGATCGGTCTTGGCCTCTGCGCTGGGGACACTTCGCTGAATGGAATGCCGGGGTGGGAGGTGGACGCGTGGGGATATCACGCTGATGATGGGGCCAAATTCCCTGGACGTTCTCAGGGGCTGAAATATGGGCCGGTGTACGGTACTGGGGATGTCGTCGGTTGTGGCCCGGATTTCAAGAGGGGATTTGCCTTCTATACTTTGAATGCCGAGTATCTGGGTAGGAGCCACGGATCCACTGCTTGGGATTGGGTTAATATGTGCTCTAAGCCCGGCCATCTCGCTCAAGGAGGGGCTTCGCATTTGGCCGATGATAGGGATGGGCAGCGCTGGTGCAAAGGTTTCCGTTAACTTTGGTCAGAGGAGGTTTACGTGGGACGGGATAGATTATCTGGAGGGGCGCTGGGGAGATAATGCTACGGTTGAATACGGAAGAGAGGCGGGCTATGGAAACTGCGGTCTTCATTGATTGATTGGGTTCTGGCGGGTTTTTATGAGGGATGTGGGATTTGTGAGCTATGATTAGTATCTGTTTTGAAAACAAATACACAAAGTGGCCCAATGTCCTGCATAATTAATTACGAATTCCTACGATAATGTATGATAATATTATTATTATGCTGTTATTATGGTGAAGGGTAGTTTGGCAAGCTTAAAGCTCTTCTACTGTACACCCCTGAACCCTGAGCCCTTCTGATTTCGGGAAGGTTTGGAGGGGCACTCGTCTTGGCAAGGTTGGTCCCTGTAAACTCTCAATCACCCCGCAATGGATAGTCATCTCACAAACCTTTGACCCATCCATATTCTTTTTCAACGAACAACCACCCTGTCTCCCCTAGCAGTTCGATATCTTGCTCGTACGCTTTCCCGCTGAGTTTTTTCCCACCAACCCTTGTGCCGCCATTCTGTTGGAATACAAAGGACCATGGCATCACTTGTTCTCTCCGTCTCTCCATCAGACGTTACCCTCCCCCTTATCCTCTCGTCGTACAAGTCACTTCCAATTACTATTTCCACCGAGGAAACGCCCGCCGTTTCTCACCCGACCCTACCAAACAATGAGGCCGTTGCCGGAACTAACACCATTGTTTCACATCTCTCTACCCTGATCCCGTTGTTTGCAAACACAACCTACACCGACATCGAGTTTGCAGAAATCAATCAATGGCTGACTCAACGTCTGCTACCCCTGTTCTTGAGGAGACCATCCCTCAGTTGAACGGGAACCTGAAATTTCGTACCACCATTCTCGGCGAGAAGCTGTCAATTGCTGATGTGGCCGTTTACGCCCGGATCAGGGGTCAGGCAGCTTCGTGGAGTGACGAGCAGAAGACGGGCGAAAAGGGCTATAGGTATATTATTCGTTGGGTTGACTTTGTTCAGAACACTCCGGATTTGGGGCTGCAAATTCCCCCGGAGGAGAAGGTTGCTGTGGATCCTAGCAAGGTGCTGGTTTACCTGAAGCCCGAGGAGCTTGTCAAGGAAAAGAAGAAGGAGGGAGCTGCGGATGGTGAGGGCTCAAAGAAAAAGGGGAGGGGTAGGGTGGCTGTGGGGGAGGCTAAGGAGGAGGCTGAAAAGGTTAAGGAGGGTGTCAATGAGGCAGCCGGAAAGGCTGCTGCTGCGGTGGCTAGCGAAGGCAAGCAATGCAAGAGGGAAAAGAGAGAGAAACCGAAGAGGGAGGCTCATAAGAAAGAAGGTAACTGTGGCTCTTTGTTGATTCAAATATCGTAATCTGGCCAAACTTACATTTACCAGAGCCGGTTATTTCTCCTTCTCAAATTGACCTCCGCGTTGGGCACATCGTTTATTGCGTGCCTCATCCAAACGCCGACTCGCTATTCGTTTCTACAATCTCAATGGGCGATCCCGAGGGCTCTCCTCTTGTGACCCCCCATTCTGAGCTTTCCCTCCCGAACATAGTTATCGCAAAATTAACCCCCCTTCCAACTGTCCGCACAGTCTGTTCTGGTTTGAACGGTCTTGTCCCGATCGAGGAGATGCAAGACCGTAGGGTCGTTGTCGCAAACCTCAAGCCCGTGACGATGCATGGAATTAGGTCCGCAGCCATGGTGCTCGCAGCCTCACCCGCACCCGTTCCGGGCGAGGACGCGACTGCACACAGGAAAGAGGCCGTGGAGCTTGTAGCACCGCCTAAGGGTGCTATTGACGGTGAGAGGGTATTCTTTGAAGGGTATAAGACCGAGCCAGAAGCAGTATTGAACCCCAAGAAGAGGATTTGGGAGCAGATACAGCCCGGCTTTGCTACTACATCCGATTTGGATGTAGTCTTTGACAGGAAGCAGGATGGACCGGCGACGATGCGCAGGGTAAAGCCCCGGGAGAAGGCCCGATAGGCAGGTTGGTTACGGAGAGTGGTGGTGTCAGCAAGGTTAAATCTCTAGTTGGCGCTGTTGTTAGGTAGATACTGCTTGTCGTGGGATTTGTTTTCCCCTTATATGTTGAAACTAGCTTGCTTAATTTTATGCTTTAGTGGGTGTACCTTGTTGTAACATGGGATCATACTGCAGGCTTTATCTGATGGTTACAAAAAAAGTATTCATTTTTTTCCATTCTAGCTCTGTCTGGGAGTTATGGGGGTTGGGTATCGTATGTAGTCAGTGGTATATAGAGGTGCTTGACTAGGAAAGCCAGCACTGTAATGAACGTACAGTGACATAAAATGAGTCATAGACTGTGCGGGATAATATGCTATAGTCCATCTCCACGAAACAGCAGCGTAATACATCGCAGAACAGGCGACTCCCAATCCTGCAACCACAAACCGCTATCTAGCTGAGTGGACGTCACAAGCAAAGGAATGCGCATAAACTATCACTCGAACATGGTGGTGGTCTGGGGGCAGACGGTGGCATAACACTCGCATTATGGCCAAAAGCCTTAGCACGCTACAAGCATCGTCCCGGGTACCACGAGCTTACTTTAGTTTTGGATTATGAGGGCAGACTCAGACATAGCGCCTTGAGCTCACGGGACAACTTGGCCGCAAACGAGAATCTAGTGGCGTTATCTCAATGATCGCTATATTGTTGATTGATCACTTTTCCAGTATCGGGGGCGAGCAGTTTTGACTTGATTTGGCGTGAAGGAGATGCGTTGCGTAGGTGTTTGGAAATTCCAAATACAAGAAAAAGAAAAAGAAAGAACAAAGAGAAGGGTACATTTAATCCTAGTCATCACCTTCCCCCTACTTCCAAACAATTTGAGTACAGACTCCTTCTCTCCCTCACGATGCTGGGTATTTTTTATTTAGAATAGACATCAAGTGCTCTCCACTTTCCTCTTTTTCGACCCTTTGGCGGTGAGGACTGCTATTGCCGTGCTGGCGGCATTTTCGCGTACCGGGTCGGTGGGGGAAGACTCGGGTTTCATAGCATCTCCATCTCCCTCACCCTTTAACTGAGTCTCTCGCTTAGACTTGAGCATAGGAGGCACTTGGACCACCGGTGCCGGTGGAAAGGGTTTTCGTGGTATGGGAGGTCGTCATTTTGCCTCGGGAGCGCCCACCACTGCCGCTGCTACCTCAGCAACTCTAGGTAAATGTGGAACCTGCGTTGCAGCGAATCTACCTGCCGTCCCCGCTGCTAACCAAAAACAACCGGTATGGCAACATGTTTCTCGGCCGCAGCCTTCTTGCATTTCGATGGCTTTGGTAAACCGGCGAATCGCACCGGGGCTAACGCCTCCTCCTCCGGCGTGGCTACCTCCTCTTCCTTAAGCATGATGCCCACTGTTGAAGCAGTAGCAATGGGGGGAGGTTGCGGAGCTCCATCCTCGGCTTTTTCAATCTTGACAGAAGAAGAAAGTAGAGATTGCCGAGCTTTACTCATCCTCCGCTTCTTCCCATCCAGTATCGAGGCAGCGATGTCGTCCACATTTATGGTCTTCTAAAGCCTGCTCCAGCGCATTCTGGCCGCCGCACGGTTGATGCTGAAGTCTGCTGCTACGCGGGTGAAGTCAATCTATTCACTCCGTGTTAGTACACCATCGACATGTTCTTTGAGGGGTGAGGAGGAGGAGGAGGGCGAGGGGAGCCAAACAGTTTTATAATCGCTCCTAATAAGACAAGTAAATAAGAACTTGACGTTCTCGTCTATTGGGGCTTTAGCTGGCATGGTAAGGAAGGAAGGAAGGATTGTTAATTAATGTTCAGATTTGGAACAAGGTTGGTTGTGGGAGAGATGCTGTTGAGTGGGTACTCTTGGAGGGGGGTTCGGCCAGTTATGAACAAGGGTGAACATATGGAGACGATGGGGCAAACCTGGGTGTTGGGCAAAAGGCGAGGGGGGTTGTAAGGGCCGAGAAGAAAACACCAGCCGGCGGTGGTGATGGCCGTGCGCAGGACGGAAAGGATGCAGGGGTGAGCTGGAAGGTGGTGGAAGTGCTATGGCAGGTAATGGTCTGATGGTGATTCAATTGATCACTTACATCAATTCTTGCACATTACCGTGCTCTTGCTACGAACTGCAATACCAGGGGACTATTGAGTCGTAAACCTTTCGTCACTAATATAAGGGGCTCAGCTATAATATTGTGGTATTAATCCGCCAACCGCAGATTAGCCAGGTCCAGCCTCATAAGTAGCCTATCGATCTTTCCAACTTCCCCTCCACCTTTTCTCCAGGAAGACAGCAGTTCACCACCTCCAATATCTCTCTCTTCATCCATTCTCTGTCACCTCTCGATCAACATGCCAAGCAAATTTCTCACCAACCTACAGCTCGCCATACACTCCACAACTTCCCTATCATTCGTGCTAGTATCGGGGGTAATGTTCAAATCAGTAAGACGGTTCCTGCGGCCCATGCGCTCGATATGGGAAGCGAGAGCCTCGGAAGAAGTTAGGAATTTCTTAAGTAGGGATGCAAACTGATGATCTGCCAAAAACAATCCTCTTTTCAGCCGGGAGAGATAGAGGTGGTGTTCCCGCATCAACGATTCGGGGTCTTGTTGCTCTTCGGTCTTCTCTTCAACGTTCCTGACGTCCTGGTCTTCTCCGTCCGCCATCCAGAGATCCCCATCTTCATCTTCTTGCTGCCGCTGCTGTTCCTCCTCCGGGGCCTCCTCGAGGCCTTGACCCAGAATTTCCATTAACTCGCAAAAGGCACCTCCTACTACCTCTCCTTGCCAGTAGCCTACCAGTGTTTCTAGGTAGAACACACTTAGGCCAGCTGTTGCCCAAACAGCCCTCTCGATACCCTTACGTTTCTTGATCACCTCTCTGCGCGCTTTTGCGACTGCCCTATTTTCACTTTTAGAAAAGGCAAGGGGAGCGGGTCGATATCGTCTACCACGCCACAAGGTTTGCAACCTAATCAAAGTGCGGCGAACAGAGATGAGATATGCGAAGATGGCGTCGAAGGGTCTCTAAATCTGCTGGTTGCAGAAAGAGTTCCAAGGGCCAGCTAAGGTGAGAATTCAGTGTAACTGGAACACCAACCAAGAGGTCTTTGAATGACTCCCCAAGTTTAGCTTTTGGATGGACTGGCTTTGAAGCTACGGAAGCCGCGGGCGGGGGCTTGACAAGGGACAAGTATAAAAGATCCCTGGCGGTATCTAATCTCTCATCTGTGGTTTCCTCTCCTTGAAGTGATGAAAGTACCCCCCAGGTTCTTGTCAATATCGATGATACTTCGCCCTCTTTGAGAACAGCGCTACTCGAGCTGGATTTGACGCCCGATGCAGCCATTCCCCCAGTGGCACCAGGACGCCGCCATCGATTGCGCACTTGCTCAGATGCTTGCTCAACTATGGCGCCAGCAAACTCCCCACGGCCTAGTAGAAAGAATTCTCGCAGGATATAAACTACATCAATAATTTTCGAAGCCGGTAGAAGTTTTTGTAGGGTATGTTTTGACAAGGAAAGCCGTATTTCCGAAACCGCAGTAAGAGGTTTCTGTTTCGATAGCGGGGACTGAAGCGACTGTAGATGCGATAGATGAACCGGAAGAAGCGTCATTTCCGGACTAATTGTGTCGGATGCAATTCCAGTATTTGCTCCTCCTCGTAATTGAATCACCGAGAGTGCGCGTCCAATAAATAATATAGAAGAGGCTGTGTCTGGGGTAACAAAGGAAGGTAGGCGTGATTTGGCGATAGTATATTCTTTCAGCACACCAGTTTCGTCCTCGTTTACGCGATTCAACACTATTGACTCTGACTCTGTAATGAAGAAATCCTCAGAACTTGGGAGCCTTCCATACAAAACCCACGTTCAACCCTCCCGCAACCAAGCTGTCTCAGCAACCATGAGCAGATGCAGGGATACAGCCTCCAATGTGGGGAAGCCGGTGTGAATGTCTGTTCGCAGTCGGTTGATCAGTTGCCCCCCGCTTATTTCCCCATGGCGGATGCAAGCGAATGCAAGTAAGACAATATTCTCTCCCATCCCTCGAACCCGGAAATTATTTTTGCCAGCGACACGATGTCGTAGCCACCGACCATACCCCCAGATCGTGAGAGAACCTGCTGCTCGACTGAGAGAATTCGTGCACGGGAACCATGCAGGTGAGATGTAGAAATGCCGCTCGCAACCGCGCGTGCGATGGTCGAGGGATGGGTGGTAGTGATGGTGGAACAATCATTTCGGAGGGAAATGTGGAGATGTCCAAGGGAGGATAACGAGGACAGCAGGGCCCTAACTAACCCCCGTCAGCTCTTGTCCGGGAAATTGAGAGGGGCCAAGAGACCTTTCGGATGGAGACACCAGTGGGAAAGAGGGCAGGAGGCCAGAGGAGTGAGTATTGGCTATGGATGCCCAGAGAGTAGTAGAAATAGCTCATGTAGCATTGCAATGGTGGTGGTGGTGGTGATGGTGGGGTGGTGGGGCGGTCTCGTATTAAGTTGTGGGGAAGGTTTGATCGGTGGTTGTTGGAGTTGTCCAGCGGGTTAGGTTTGCGCATGCTGAAGCTTAAGACCTATGTTGCACAACACAGCATCATTCCTCGGGTGGTTATCGCTTGGTTCCCTTTTCTAGATTAATGCTTTTTGTCTACAATATTACAATTGTCCCACCACTAAAATATCTGCACTTGAGTATGATAGCACATTTGGCCCCTAGCGAATCCGGCCGCTTGAAGCCGAAAGGTGAGGTGCACCCGACAGACTGCGTGATAATTTTTCTTCGTGCTCCGGGACTTGTATAAACACCGACGTCTGAACACGGCTTCGGGCATATCTCCAGCTGTGTGTGGTGGTGGTAAACCTCTTTATAATCGTAGAAAGAAGTGTCGGTAATCAACTATCCTCTTTAGCCTAGCCATCTTGGGGGGGATGAGATAATAGAAATAATAAAAAACAGTCCTTATAATATTATGATGTCCCGTCCACCCATTCGAAACTTCTTCTATCCTCAGCTTTTCCGCCGGGCTTACAAGGAGCATATACCATCATCCTCAGTATTACCCAGAGTACAATTACGAACAATGGCTGTATGCACAAATACCTCTGTGTAATTAGTTACAAGGGTCGAAATGCGGTACGGACTGACAATTTCGACAGGCTCCCATTCAGAAGAACAAGATCACCGAGCGGGTCGCAGTGGACCCCAAGACTGGTGAATTTCAACGCAAACCAGTTTGTCTCCCTTTGTGTTCCAAACACAACTCGGTCTATGGATCTAACCCCTATAGTCTGTATTTCGCGACGCCATCTCAAAAGCTCATGGAGCTCGATTCCCTCCGGAGAAGGGCCGGAACCAGCTCTACGTCTCATATGCCTGTCCGTGGGGTAAGCTTCCCAAAATATCAGACCTTATCCATTCCATCATCACAGGGTTGGGGCTAAAGGAGCCAACCTAACCCAGCTCACGGCACCCAAATAATTCGTGAACCTTAAGGCCTGCAAGACATCATATCACTGAGCGTCGTGCACTGGGACATGGGGTCTAAGGGATGGCTTTTTGCGACGGAAGAGGAAGTCGCCGAGTCCCCGGAGATGACGGCCGCTCCGGAGCCCGTTAACGGTGCGACCTACCTCCAAGATATCTATTTCAAGGCGGACCCCCAATACGGGTGCGTGCCGCTACACCGTCCCAATCCTCTGGGATATAAAGACTAGTACTATCGTCAACAATGAGAGCAGCGAGATTATCAGGCTCCTCTACACCGAATTTGACGACCTTGTAATACGAGAAATTCCGTGGAAACCTGTTCTATCCGGAGGATAAGAGGGGATCCGTTGACGAGCTCAACTGGTGGGTTTACGACACCATAAACAACGGAGTCTACAAATCTGGGATCGCTACCAAGCAAGGCGCTCATGAAGACGCTGTAACAGCACTCTTTGCGTCCTTGGATCGTGTAGAAGGGCTTTTGAAGTCTTCCGCTGGGCCCTATCTTCTCGGCGAGAAGATCACGGAGGCGGATGTGGGACTATATACCACCATCTTCCGCTTCGATGCGGTGTATGTCCAGCACTTCAAGTGTAACATCGGGATGATTCGTCATGAGTATGCCTCTCCATTCTTCTCCTCCTTCTTCAAAAGGAAAATATGAGACGGTTAACGGTAAAAGAGATTACCCGGTTATATATACATAAACGGTTAAGGCATCTCTACTGGGATATCCCGGCTTTCAAGCAAACCACAAACCTTGAGCATATCAAGACAGTAAGTGACCAAGAACAAATCCAAATTTTTAGTCAGACCACTGTATAACAGAAATCAACCAATATCGATAGCATTATACAAAATCCCATGCCCGAATAATCCCGACTGGAATAACACCGCTCAGGCCTCTGCCACATATTTTGCCCCAGGATGTTGGAAATAACTTCAGTCTAAGATATACCATCATAACTAATCACTCGCAGAGCTGATTTGAGGAGAATCTTGGGCATCAGAAATCTCAGAAAAAGTCGACCTAATTGGTCAGGAGAATCGCCTTTCGTATACTAGTCTTATTGTGCATCTTATTCTAGTGATGGGAACTCGCAATCGTACTTAAATAGAGCCCAGCACAAACCTAGAAATGATACCCCACACGATGGCACCGGGAGTAGGACACCAACCTGCCCATATGCCTCTAGACATACAAAAGATCCACATCTCCCTACCTCGGAAAGGGCGCGAGTACAGCCAGTCAAGCATTTTCGATACCTAAAAACATGTAGACCGTGGTCCATAATCTCTCCCTTTTACTTCAAAGACAGACCAGACTGTTAGGAATACTGCAAGTAGATTTTACTGTGGGTAAAGGGTTGTTTCCGGAACACTCCGGAGCTGCAGATATAGTGAAAAGGGATTTTTTTGCTATCGTACTACTGGAATCATAGTTGTCTCATGTATTATCACTCGTGCCATTTTCCAAACCTCTGGTTGAAATAGTTACTTCAAGGTGACGGAAGCATGTTTAGTATGGCAAATCGGGACTTGGAACACTGTATATAGAAACCTCTGATGGGTATAAGTATGGCAGTCTCAGGCACTGGAGAAATAAACATGAACGATGTCCATTTCATTCCTCTGAAGCCACTGTCTTTATCTCCAACAGCCTCTCTGTCTCACAAGTCTTTACCTCTCTTCATTTCCACATTCTCAGTTACCTTCCTTGACCGACAACACCTCTCTCCTGACGGGCGAACACCGGCGTCGTGTCTCAAAAATATTTGACGCGCGACCAAGGGAAAACTAGACCAAGCGAACGAACATGAATTGGTGACTGAGAATTACTGGAATGGGAGGATGTATAAACCAAAAGGGGGTGATTCCTGTCCTTATTTCCCCCATGTTCGACCTTATCCTGACGAAACACTGTAAACAGATTTCTTCTTCTTTGACCTGTGGTTTTTCCTACAATGGAATGTTGGAGATTACATCATGTGCTAGGCGAAACCGGGTCTTCCCTGGCATCAGGATTGCTCTTTCAAGGTATTGGAATGCAAAGGTTGCTTGATTTGTAACTGGACCCTCCCACCTGGGATATTCTTTATTTGATGAGGGAATCTTATCTTGAAGAGGATGTCAGCTTCAGCGTCACCACCAGTCTACAATATCGTAAGATACCTCTCGGCCGCAGGAAGTGGGAGGGAATATGCTCTCAGTGGGGTAAATATCCTCCCAAAATTTGGCCGTTTAGTGGTTTAAATACCCCCTCCCCCCCTCCCTCTTTCCCACTTCATCTCTCCCAATCTCTCATAAAGAGAGCATTGCGGAAGAGAAAAATCATTTCTTACTGCCATATACAAATTCCCTACAAAAGTACACTTTAAAGATTTGCCGTCCTCGGTCTCCATCCAACGTTCCCCTGCCTCTCCATACTCCCACCATTTCTTTCCCTTTCTCCTATCTTCCCATTTCCATTCACAACATGCTCAAATAACCCCTCTCCAAGTTTACACATTTCCTTTATCTGGTTGCTTTTGTTACCCCAACAAATGCCATATCAATGGTACAGCTTCCTTTATTTCAATCACGGCCTACACCATTTAACACAACAATGCATCTTGGATATACTAAAACAGGACATATTAGAAAATATGTTGCCGGGGAGCAGTTTGTGAGAAGCATGAGCCCTGATCGAATTATTCTTTAAGTTACTTCTCAAACAATTTATACAGCGGCGACAAGAAAGTTGTGGGACACTAGCCAGATAGGTTTAGTGAACTGCTTAGGACACCTCTAGCATAATTGGGATAGTATTATAATGTCTTTACAACTGGTTTCATCACCCATCGATTCTTATTATCTATAATGCTAACTTCAAGCATGAGTGGAAAACAGTATCAAGCCACTGAAGCTGAGGGTCTTAGAGCAGTTGAGCTTGATTTTCAGGGCAGATTCTATCATGAGGTTGAGCAAATGACAGGTTATGAAAAGAATTCAGTTCACTGAATAGGCAATCATTGGGAAGAAAAGAATGACATGAAGAATGCTCAAAATTCAGGACAGCCAACAAAGCTCTACAATAGTGAGAAAGCAGTAACCAAGAAGCTTATCGAGAATGATCCTGATGCCAGAATTGCAGACATTACACACCGATCTGGTTTCCATATTTCGGAATACTTGGTTTCAAACGAGGCTTTAGCTCAAGGCTATCGCAACCATATGGCCCAAAGGCAGCAGGCGATACCACCATCAAACTGTACAAAACAGTTAGCCTGTGCTGACGAGAAGAGATGTTGGACTGCTAACGACTGGAGAATGTGTATTTTTACAGATGAAACTACATATTCAAACAGTAGTCAGCAAGGTGGTCTGAGAAGAGTTCATCGAAAAGCAGGCCCTGTAATTAAGTGCGATATTGGAATAACCAACAACAATCGAACTGGTTTCCTACAGGATTTTATGCAACCATAACGTTTAGATACCATACACCACTAGTATATATTCGACGATCAATGCCCTCTGAACCAACTTCTACTTTAGATGCGCTTGGCTTTAACAGTTTTTAATTTGTTAATGAGGTGCTCAAACCTTACCTTCTCCCCTTTCTGCGATCTCTACCTTATCATGGACAGCAATATCAGATTGCGGAAGACAATCTTAGAGTTCATCACGCAGTTTTAACAACCAAGCTCTACCGGACTCATGATATCACTAAGTTACATTGGCCAGCGAGATTACCTGATATGAACCCTGTCAAAAATGTTTGGCATATGCTAAAACTACAACTTAACCGAAGGTTTAGGCATCAGAAGCCAAGGAGGGAGGAGGAAGTAATGGTAGTCGCTAGGGGGGAATGGGAGGAATTGAATTGGAACAAGATTTATAGGATGATTGATGGTATGCCTCGTAGGTTTTGAACATTGATTGAAAAGGATGGTGAAAGAACAAAATATTGAGTATTACTTGAAGACATTTTTAAACCCGTTGTAAATGTGTATTTACACTAGCGTCCCACGACTTTCTTGTCGCCGCTGTACTGTACACCGGTACCGCTGCGTTTGCAAACACTTGGCGGGTTTTCTCCCACGCTACAATTCTTCTAGTTTACCGCAGCTCAACCGTTATTTTGGCTGATTCTCTCGGTTGATGCCTTGGTGGTGTTGCCTAGCATACATGCCCTGACTTAGAAGTACCGGCTGGCCCTGCTGCTTTCTACTATATAGACCTTTTGCGGAACGGAGAACATTTTTTCATCGAATTTACCAACTTACCAGACCAACCTGAACTACCTTGCCTCATATTATTCCTTGGTGTCACCGGACTGGACGGGAGGTCAAGAGAAAGATCACTGCTTGTGAAATCCGTTATTGCGCATAATCCTTCTCTGTTTGTTTTTTTTTGTTTGGCAAGGCGTTGATAGCAAAAGCCAGTACCGATTTTTTATGTTCTCCTCACTCGCTCACAAATATTGATATAGCTGTAAAACAAGTATATTCTTCTACCTGATATGATTCCCCTTCCCACTGATCACTCTCCTCCAACAAGATCGGTATTCTCAACTTAATTAAGTGTCCTGTCTGAACCCGGACAGCTTGTATGATAGATGGGAGCAGGTGCCATGGTACTTTCCTATATACAAATCAATGTCACTTAGTATGGGCAGTGATAATCCAGTTCCGGAAGAAACACTGTTGGAATTCAAACCATGTCCCCTCAATGTGACCTCAGGCACGCCGGTGAGTTCAAAAATACGCATGCTATAGCAGCCAGCTTACAAACTGTCAAGAATTCAGTAAATGAATGGGGGGGCAGCAGATTTCCTGCTGCTTCTTTTCTATGCCTTCTGCTTAGCACATATCATACTCCGCGGTACAAAGCCAGTCAAAAGGACAAATCCTTGGAGTATAGGTTTAACACCAACGCCATTAATACGGCAGAAAGGGGGATATATCAAATATCTCTAGCATGTTTGAAGCCTTCCATGATACTAAACCTTCGGCGCACCCACGCAGGTAGCCCCTACCCGCTCTCCCCTTCCCAACACCATCCTAATTGGCATTTATAAAATATAGGGAATTTGATACTATCACCTTCCATGCCATAACCTAGAGGTTATATGCAATGGTTGTGCTCTGGTATTCACCTGGATCAATCGAGGGGCTTGTTAGAGAGAAGAGTCGACACTTTCCCGCTAGAGGGGATAGTAGAAGCTAAGGAGGGCAAGGTGCAAACATCCCCAAAACAGTCTTCCGACAGAGAAATCGAGATTAGAAACCCCTCCCATATTCCCCGAAACCATGGAGCCTCCCATCCAGGAACGGAACTTAGAAAATCACTATGACAGAGTAGCGTATATACCACCCCCCCAAAAACCTCCTTCCACCATACCCTGCTTTTATTGTCGCCAAGATCTTGTCACAATATCTTTCCATCAGCGAGGACTCTACGGGCAGAAGTGTAGCTCTATTAGATAGAGTTTGGTGTGTTTCCAAAAGCTTCTAATTTAATCAATGATAGTAATGAATAACATTATTACAATATGATTACAATGCTACAAGCTGCTTTCCTTCACAAATTGTGACTCGTGAGATGTTGTAACACATATTACGCGTGCTAGCATAGATCAAGTCACCAGCGACCCCACGTCGTCATTGCACCCAATAGCGGGGGACAATATCCATAGTCTCCCGAAGCTACAGTCCCAACCTTCACATCTCTGCAACCCCACAGAAATCCACCCCTATCACTACCACCGCAACCACCATCGTTATGAACACCGCCAGCATGTCAGGAGCCAGTGCGGGTTCTCTTTTTCTTTCCTTTCTGTCCGTCATCCTGGAATCGAATCTAACCAAGCCAATCGCTGCAACCGTGAAGCAGTATTTGCAACGCGCCAGTCCTTAGGCTTTATAAAGTCCAAGCTTAAAGGCGCCGAAACAGGTTCATATTCCATCCCCACCCCCTCCAATAAGCGCACAACCAAATCTAACAGGAATGTCCGAACAAACAAAGGTCATAGTCTACTTAAGCGAAAATCCGAGGCCTTGACGAAACGTTTCCGCGAGATAACCCAGCGTATCGATGAAGCCAAACGAAAGATGGGCCGCGTGATGTCGATCGCTGCCTTCTCCCTTGCAGGAGTCACTTACGCTACAGGCGGCGGCTCGAACCTAAATTACCAAGTGCAGGAGAACGTCAAGACTGCTAGGTTCCGCGTGAGGACTAATCAGGAGAACGTGTCCGGCGCGCTGCTGCCCGTGTTCGAGAGCTACATCGCGCAAGGGAACTCGGATTTTGGTCTCACGGGGTTGGGCAGCGGCGGGCAGCAGGTGCAGCAGTGCAGGGAGGTTTATGGGAAGGCGGTGGAGATGTTGGTTGAGTTGGCGAGTTTGCAAGTATGCTTTCCTCTCTTATCTTAAATATGGGGGAGGAATGGATGGGTGCATGGCTAATTTCACGGCTATGATGGGGGGCTAGACGGCGTTCGTAATCCTCGATAACGTTATCAAAGTCGTTAGCCGTCGCGTCAATGCTATCGAGCATGTTATTATCCCCCGCACGAAGAATACGATCAGGTATATCAACAGTGAACTCGATGAGTTGGACCGCGAGGAATTTTATAGGCTTATGAAAGTGCAAGGGAAAAAGTGTCGTGATGCCGAGGAGGCAGACAAGGAACTTCGTGCTAAGATGGCAGAAGCAGGGACTACTGCAATTGATAGGGCCGAGTATGGGGGTGAAGGTGTTCCAGATATCCTAGAAGAAAAGGAGGATGAGGATCCTATTTTTTAAAGACAAAAATGGTGTCTTTCTTTGCATGGGCAGCAGAGCGCTCTTTTCCCTCTTTCTTTCACATGAATATCTTACCCGTGATGGGCTTTTCCTTTAGCATACCCGACTTTTCTCCCTCATTTTCTTCATTTTTTCCCTTTTCTACTTTGTAAATACCCCCCAGTACCCCACATCAATTCCATCAATCACAGGCACTCGATTCCAAGCAAGTACCGGACCCAAACCACTGGTATCACCCCGACACCACCAACCAACCAGACACCGAATCCAAACCCTCTTCACACACAACAAAAGTCAAGTTACCCACCCTTATCAGCTCCGTCCATCACCTACCCACCTCCTCCAAAGCTCCCGAAGGCTCCGAACACACGCATCCCTCCCCCACCAAAAATCAAAGAAATCAACAGCCAAAATCATCGACACATTCACAACACCGACAACCCCCCACCTCCTCCAAAAGCTAACCTCTCTGACAAACACATTAACAACCTTCCTAAACGAATCGCGCAAGGATACCCTCGCCCAGAAACCCACGCACAAGCTCCTCCTGCGGTTGGAATCACTGTCGCTCGAGAACGCTTGGATACGACACACATTCCCGACCACGCCGGTGCTCACAGATGACCTTTTTGGCGGGGATGTTGAAGGTGACGCGGATGCTCTACGGGAAGAAGGGGAGGCGGAGTTTGGGAGAAGGTATGGTATTGCGAGGAAGTGTTTGGGGGGGATTGGTTTGTTCTCTCTCTCTTGCTCTGCTATGCTAAAGATAGGATTCGGGGGCGGAGTGAGAGCTAATATTGGACAGTGCATCGGGATGTGTTAAGGGTCATCTCGCGAAGAGGGAGTCTGGTCGTTGTCTGCGGTGGGGTGCTGAGTAGGGAATGGGAGAATGTGTATCGGAAGTTTTGGAAGGGTGGTTGGGGAGGGGTGATGGCGAGGGTACGCTCACGGCGGAGGAAGTGAAGGTTGTAAATTGGTTGTTGGAATACGTACCCAAGGGCGACGGTGGTGGTGGTGGTGGCTGTGAACAGGAGGTTCTTAATGTCGCGGATGCGGGGAGAATGATTGACGGACGGTGGGAGGAGGGGAGGTTTCTTTGGGGTGGGTGATGTTGGATGATTTCGTTCGCCCCCACCGTTTATTTCCTTCATAGTATTTGTGTATGGGTAGCACTTTTTATAATGCTGGGATGGGATGGGGTGGATAAGGATAGCATACTATAGAATCTCAAATAACCCAACCGTGCGCCGCTATGTCATTCGAGTTGCCCCCTCTGGTAGGGTCTGGTATTTTCTACATTTTAGAAGGGCTAAACAACTCACCTTTTGTGTTTTTTCTGCTTTCATCCCTTCCCCGGATAGGAAATTCTGGGTTATGATACCTAGCGCATGATTCAGTTATTTGAGATGCTATGGTAGCCAGATATCGACAATTCAATCTCCCCACATTATTGAACAGTCGTAAGGAGAAAGAAAGTAACCAAATAAAAATAAAAGGTTGGTATGCAGTCGATTAACAACACTCCCTCTCCATGATACTAGACAAAGACCGACACCAAAGACCCATAAGACATGCATCTCCATAACTCTACTCAACACTTGTCTCAATCCTGGTGTATCCAATTGTCATGACAACCCCCAGACACTCCTCTCGCACGCATGCACTAAACCGGACCAAAGAGAATTAATCCGTATATCATACAAGAAAATAAAAATAAGAATAATATAAAAGAATAAAAATAAAAATAAAAATAAAATAAAATAAAATAATCCGCTGACGTTAACCAGCTACCGTCCATTCTCATAAGGCACATTCCCTCATACAGGGTATTAAAGCGAAAAAGGTACCCACTAGCCTTTTCTAGAAAGAAATGTGGGCATCCATAACTTGTTAACGTTCAGGCGCAAATGGAGAAAGGGTGCCGGGGGTGTTCATGCTGAAGGGTGCCTATCAAGTATCCTGTTAGTTAGTCGACCTCTTGGAATGATATTTGGAGTATGAGGGAAATAAATAAATAAATGACTTGCCAATACTCTCTTTGCATTGCATATCCTCCAGGCAAGGCGTTTGACATTTCCATCGGCTTGGACAACCTCTGGTGCGAAATCAACCCCAAACATTTCCTTGACAGCGTACACAATCCTCCTAGCATACTTCCATCACTTAGGCCACCAAACCCATCCGTAACATCGCCGGGTGCTATATCCTGGTCCTCCTTATCGAAACACCTAACAACAACCGGGAACAAGTAATTCTCAACGCTTTCTTGCATCTCCTGCATATCAATGAAATGCTCTTCTTTAGTCTTGTCAGCTGCAAGTGGTGCTTTATTGATGATGACCTCGAAGGGCAATGAGATTGCTATAACCTTGTGCTTTCCGTCGTGGTGGTATCTGAACTCATAGACTCCATTGCTCCAGAAGGTCTTGTCTCCGCCAAACTCCAGTTCGCCCGTAAGGATTTCCTCGTTAGGGTTCTCAGGCAAAAGGGTCTTAATATCAGAGCTTATGATTCCTTTCTCCGCAATGTCGGTATCGTACTCCTCCTTGCAGAGGGCGGTCCAGCGGCCCATAGAGGCGATCCTCGTAACCTCTCGAGAGGCGTTATCGGCAATTCTATAGAGCCCGATCCAATCTAACCTTAAATGGTTAACAAGGGCAGTCCAGACAATTCTGATAGGTTGTCCAAATTCTACAGATAGGCCTGTTTCAATTCCATCGTTGGTCTCTCTAAGAGCATTCAAAATGGCGATCGAGTATTTCTTTGCGTCGTATTTGGCGTGACCGTCCGCGAGGAACGTGAGTGACAGATCAGCAGGGTAGTGCGAAATAAGCAGTTGCGTGTCCTTAACCACACCTATGACACCCTGCGTAAGCTTAGGCTTTGCAGTTTCTAAAAACTCCTCAATGAATTCACCAACATCTGCAAGGGCCTTATCAATTGACCCCTCGAACGATTTCACGCCATCATCGACTGGTGGAGGCATGGCTTCCTTGATTGTCTTGACGACACCGGCTTCCTTGCGGATTTGACTGCCATAAAGTTTCTCCATATGCTGCCGCTCAACAAATTCGATAAAAAGCAACAAGCAAACGTGGGAGAACAGACCCAACATGAATATTTCCTGCGAAGAAGTGATCAAAACTATTCCCCAAATTCCTGCGCTGCCAACCAAGAGCTCCGGGTTATTAAGGTACCTGTAAATTCCAGAATAGGTAAGATGTGGTGTTGGCTGCTCAAAAAAGAAATCGACAACAAACCATCCAAACTCCCCGAGTAATTCATGTATCGAAACGGCGGTCCACATCTGAAGCGCGAAGAGTAAGATTCCCAGCGTATGCCTGAATAGAACCCAGGCTGCATCTGATCTGTGCCG